AATTGAACCTAAATCGATATATGTTGCTTTACTTTACGAGGGATGATTACTTTCTATTCAAGAAGAATTTATCCAATTTAAACGTAACGATGTTTAGGACCTTGTTCTGCGTCCAGTAGATAAAACTATCATTGGAACTAGATGGATATTTAGGAACAAAATGGATGAAAGTGGCAAATTACTAGAAATAAAGCAAGTTTGGTGGCAAAAGGATATACTCAAGCATAAGGAATGGACTATGAGGAGACTTATACTCATGTATCTCGTCTAGAAGCTATTAGACTCCTTTTTTACTTTTACTTGTTGTCTGGATTTTAAACTTTATCAAATGGATGTTAAATATGCTTTTTTTAACGGTCATATAAACGAAGAGGTGTGTGTCTCACAATCCCCGGGTTTTAAAGATCATGAGAATCCTAATCGTGTTTTTATCTAAAAAGAACCCTATATGATCTCAAATAAGCTTCTAGAGCTTGGTATGAGAGATTGAGTGGATTTTTAATCAAACAAGGATTAAATCATGGTAAAGTTGACAACACTTTATTTTTTAGATGTACAGCAAAGCATATTTTTAGTTCAAATATATGTATATGATATCATATTCGGTTCTACTAATAAGTCTCTTTGTCGAGAGTTTTCAAGTTTGATGCAGGAAAAATTTAAGATGTCTCTTACGGGAGAGCTGACATATTTCTTGGGATTGCAAATTAATTAAGTCGAAGAAGTCACTTTCATAAATCAGACGACATACTACTTAGAGCTTCTCAAGAAGTGACATATATTCTATTTTTCACTTCAATATTTTATAGCAAATATTACTCTGTCGATTACATTGGTATGTCTTTAAACTCTATCATTGTGTGTGTTTGTTCTATATATTCATTGGTTTGCTTACTATTTCTTTACCTTAATTTTTCTTTATTCATTTCTCAAATATATTTTTTATTGTTCTTCTTTGCATGTAACTCTTTTAAATGTGTATTACTAATTATGAGCATTTGATCATTTGTATAACTGATCATCATTATTTATCCTTCTAATTCATTTCTTTACACATTGTATTTTGATTACTATCATATGTTGCTGTTGAACATTGTAGTTACATGTCTATGTTGCATTTTATTGCATATAGCATATTTATCTTCATATTTGTATCTGATCTTAGGTGTTGTATATTCTTCTTAGTTTGTTTAAGCTCACTTGTTCTTCTAGAATTATTTATTGAAGATTGTTTGTTTTTGGTTTAGACTCATAGCAATTAGTATCTCTTTTTGATGTTGTCAAAGGGGGGAGAAGTTGTAATGAGTCTATAAATGGTTTTATGTGTTTTATGTTGTAGTTTATGTGCAATGTTTCATGGGGCACAAGTATTTTTGCTTTTCGCTTAAAGTTGACTCAATTACAAGGGAATGCTTGTCAAGCATAAAAAATGGGAAATTGTAGTTGCATATCCCTAAGGGAAGATTGTTGCATGTCCCTAACAAACTCAGGAGGAACATACTAACACGATTGTTTTGTTGCTTGTCTTATCGCTTTTGTTTACTTTAAGTTATTGAGTCTCCCTCATAAATTGTACACGTTGAATCAAGTTCGAAATTGATTCCTAAATCTTTTTAGCGTGAATAAGGTTTTTAGTCATTTGCATGAGTTGGTGAAATAATAACATTACATGTTTTTTATTTGAAGTAAATGAAATGTAAAATCTCAAAGTACTTTTGAAAACATGAAAATTGAGATTTTACATATTTCATTTGAATCATTCGAATCATTCGAATCAAACACATTTTATGATTCAAATCAAATTAGACATAAATATACCAGGAATTTTTCAAATATTTGATTCGAATCATTTTTTACATATGATTCGAACCACACTCTTCTGGTCACCTTCTCCTCTATTTTATTTGAATCAAACTTTATACATGATTTGAATCACACACTTTTGCTGCATTTTCAAGTTTGCTCTAATTTATTTGATTCAAATCAATTTTGAATATGATTCGAATCATAGGGTTCATGACTCGAATCACACTTTGTGCATAAGCGTCTACAACTGCATTGTGGGTAAGCCTTTTGCAACAACATTGGATATGGTGGCTTCTCCATTACACCTCAAGTTTAAGTATCACGATGTGCATGACAAGCCGATGACAATACTCACTAACATGTTTGGAGTACAAAGGATACACAAGACCCTATAACAGAATCATAGAGAAAAGGACATGAAAAAGGCCATGGAATTAGTGTAACCTCCCTCGTCAAGCAACTAGGAGAGATGACGGTTAGACTTCCCAATAAAGGGCTTATGGATCCCGACAGTATATTAGTTTTCACTGGATCACTAAGTTAAAAGTGAATTTCTCCTTTCCAACGTAAGTTCCCCGCGAACTAACTTTAGATCAAACGAGGTCTGATCCTGAAATTTTTGCAAGAATCAATCATCGATCCCCACAAACGGCATTGTTGTTCCGATGTGAAACCAGAATTGTGATTGGTCCTGATTGACTCTGAATATGATGGTGCAGGTCTTCGGTGCAGCAACGCAGGATAAACCTTCAAAGTTAACACTCCAACATCTAAATCAGTCACAGAATCCAAAATGGAGTAGAATGAAAATATGAAAAGAGTGTGTATACTTTGCATTTTACACATGCCCGTTATATACGTTAGATCATTTTTAATGGACTTTATTCTATTTGAACACAACGCTTGAGCCTCTCCATATTGAGTCTTTGGTCGGTGCAAAATATTATAGAAAAATTATTTCTCTCAAGTGAAAGGATCATTTAAAAATAGTCAATACTAAAATTTTGAAGTCCTTAAAATGTGAATTTCTCTATTTTTTTTATTACATCAATAATAGGATTGAATTAAATTTTTCGATTGAAAATTGTAAAATTGATCCGATCCAAGCAATTATCACCCTTTGGTATATATTGAAAATTTTATAATAATATATCATGCATTATATATACAAAATAAAATATTGTGAATATATAATGGTTATTTTTATAACCTTGTTCCCATGTTAACATATATCATATACACCTAATTTTGGAGACTCAAATATCTCATGAAACTTAAGTTGATGCCATGATATGAGAAATAATTTAACAATTTTATACCAACATGTTTACACAAATGTATGCACGATTATATTTTTATCGTTTTTTATTATAGTTAAAAATATTTTCATGATATTTTCTACATGTACCCTAGTTTTTTTTTAATGATTTTTCATTTGGAATGTTTTCAAATAATTAGTATATTATTAACCATATATGTATATGTGTGAATGATAACGGGCAAGAATGTGATGCATTGATAGAGAGAAAACGTACATGGGATAAAGGTGAAATTGAGTCTCGAGAATCAGGAGTGTGTATAGCAGGACAACACGTGATTTGGAAAAATGTTGAGGTGAGTCTTATTCTTATCTAGCACTAGTAATCACTGATATTCTCCCCCGAGGACAAATTCAATATCGTATCATCAAAAAAGAATCCAAGGATGAGTGTGTCAGACAAGACGTACTTCATTCAAGACAATCACTACATCACTTCCAACAAGTCTTCATTGCCAAATATTCTTCTTCTCAATCTCAAATTCAATCACCATTCAATATAATTACTAACTTTGATTATTCTACGTGGTTTCAGCTCCTTCTCGATTACAATTGCAAGGAATCGAATCATAATTCTCTCTATCCAACTCAGTATCAATCATTATTGGACTAACTAATATTAATTTTGAGATTTGCCTATATCATGTATGCATTTTGTTTTATTGTCTTAAATTAAAAGGTGAATGATATTGAATGAATTATCGTGACCAACTCATGATGCTATTTGGAGCTCAAGGAAATCTGTGTGACCCGTGAACACCACAACAACCATAAAGAATATGTAGAGAGAAATAGTCAAACAATGGAATGTATCTTTCTTTCTTTTTTCTTGTAATAGAATAATCAATGGAATGTAAATATGTTCACCCTTCCTTTCCTTAAATTGATGCAGTGTTCTCAGAGGTAAGCAATATTGCTGGCAATGTGATAATTTTGCAAAAAAAAAAAAATTCTTTAAAATGAAGTTGACTCAAAAAGCTATTAGACTTATCTTAGCAAATAAATAATGAGGAAAATGATATTTTAACACAATTGACATTAAATTCAATAACAGATTAGATAGTAAATATAGTTCAAATATGAATAATGTTGGCAAATGTAAAATTTTAGAGTATTTAAAAAAAAACTACAATATAAAGTGAGTTTAATAATTAGAGACGGAGAGAGTATTTATTAATCTTCTATTGGACGCAATTAGCAGCATATTTAAACTACCTTAGCTATTTGATATGTTGTTGAGGTTTAATGCTAATTTTGTATATAAAAATAACAAAGATCAAATAATAAATATATGTAAACCATCTATCATGTGTTAAGACCGTGCCCTTGAGTGCATTTGTTTTGAATTGATTGAATGAAATGGTATAAGTTTATGTTCCATTGTTTGTTTTAATTAAAAAATTGATAGAATAGAACAAAACAAGATGGAATTCATCTCATTCCACCGCTTTCCATTATTTTTATAGTATTCCTTGATTTGGACAGAATAAAATTGTTTTATTCTGTGATGTGATGAAATACTCGAGACATTTTTATTTCATTCACTCGTTTGTTTTATAATATCCAAAGAGATGCTGGCAGCACTAAGGCTGTTCAAAATAATAATAAAGCCTACAGCATTCTTAGTAATTGTAGAAAGATTTAAAAAAATGAAAATGAAGAAAAGAAAAGAAAAACATGATTTGAAACAAGGTGAGTATGAGTATGTATGTAGTGTGTACTCAGTAACGGTCACATGGGTTTTGCTATATCTCCAAACCGTGAAAACATTTACACCAACCACCACTCTTTGCTACTACATAATCCGCTCCAACAACATGCAATTCCAAGTATCACTCATCACTTGTTCTGTTATACTATATCCTCAATATACATTATGGATACATCATGCAAGAAATCTCCTTTGAAGCCATGGAAGAAAGGGCCAACAAGGGGCAAAGGTGGCCCCCAAAATGCTTCGTGCGAGTATCGAGGTGTTCGGCAACGAACATGGGGAAAATGGGTTGCCGAGATAAGAGAACCAAAGAAGAGAACTAGGCTATGGCTTGGTTCTTTCGCCACAGCAGAACAAGCTGCTATGGCTTATGATGAGGCTGCAAGGAGACTCTATGGACCAGATGCATACCTAAATCTTCCTCACCTGCAACCTCATTCTGTTTCAACTATCAAAACTGGGAAGTTCAAGTGGCTGCCTTCAAAGAATTTCATTTCAATGTTTCCTTCTTGTGGATTACTCAACATAAACGCTCAGCCTAGTGTTCATTTAATCCATCAGAGGCTACAGGAGTTTAAGCAGAATGCAGTTGCTGCAACTCAATCACTTTCTAGTTCGTCGGACGATCCAAAGAAAGAAGAAACTCAGAATGTACTAGACAGCAAGAAGAATCATGCAACTCAGAATGTACTAGACAGCAAGAAGAATCATGCAGATGATCCGCCAAAGAAAAATGATGTTGAGACTTCGGTGAATAAGATGGTTGGCAATCTGCAGGAGGAGAAACCACAGATAGACCTACATGAGTTTCTTCAACAGCTGGGAATACTGAAAGAAGAAACACACTCCTCGGAACAAACTGAGAGTTCAGGAAGTTCAACAGTGCATGAAGCTGTGTCAAGAGATGACAATGATCATTTGGGAATATTTTCAGACATGAATATTAATTGGGAGGCATTGATTGACATGCATGGAATTGAAGATATTCAGGAATCAGAAGCCACGCCGTTCGAAGCATTTGACCCGAATGACCAGCTTAATTTCTCAACTTCCATTTGGAATTTTTAAGAAACTTAGCTGGTTTGTCAAGAAAAGAGGAACTACCTTAGCTATAGCTTATTGGAGTTGAAATCTAGTTAGATATGGTACTCTACTTAGTAACTCAGCCTAAGCTTTAGATCAGACTGTTTTGGTTCTGCTAGTACTCAATTGCCTTTTGTCTTATGTGTGCTGCATTTCAATCTATTGACTGCAATTTAAGAGTAGGAAAGTAGTAGCTAGGAAGGTGCTTATTTTAGTAGTTGTAGTGGCACAGAACATGTCACATTCATGCAATAATGGAACAAATTTTAAGATTTTGACAGAAGAACTTTAAATTAAAAGTGATGTTTATAAGCATCATATACTAAGCATAAAAAAGCTAAATAACAAGAGACTAAATATTCTAATTCCAGATGATTCTAAAAGTAATAATATGGATGGAAGCCAATAAATTTTCTCTTCTAAATAAAATGGCTTTGCCTTCTTTCTTCTATAAAACATCAACCTCCTAGCAAAAGAAAGATTTTAGAAACCTTCAGAGATCTACATCACCAAAATCAACAAATTGATCACATGAGAGCAATAATGGCAATCTTCACCTTGGGGAATTTCGCCTACTAATTCTGGTACTCGGATGCACTCTGATATTCGCCGTGCTCTTCAAAATACTCAACCAAGCGCTTTAGAAATCCATCCTTACTGACTGTCTCAGTGTCACAGACAATACAGCATTGTCTTCTTGCTCGTGTCACGGCCACATTCATTCGCCTGCGATCACTCAGAAAACCCACCTGAAACATATATTTCAAGTCTCTTCTTTTAATCTCCATGCCATTTTAACATATTTGCCATGTATGACCTATATGATGCAAATTAAAAACTAGCAGACTTGTTTAAAATACCTCTTTTTTTGAATTTGATCGAACCATTGATATAATAATGGCTTCCTTCTCCCTTCCCTGGAAACCATCAACTGTTGAGATTTCAATATCCTTCAGCGAGTTCTCCTTGTTCTTCAACATCTTGAGTAAAACAACCTGCCAAAAACAATATTGACCATACTGTCATCTTTCATAAAACTATTTAAACATGAAGTTTTAGGCCACCTAACATTTATATTAACAATGTTGTCATACGCAGATCGCAGAAAAATAGCGGGTTGTTCAAATTCTGCTAATTAACAGTGCTTTACCATCGCTATAAGCCTATAACTGCTATTTCACAGAGCAATGACAATTTGCTCAAATTCCCCTATGCTATAACACTCCTACACGATACTTCATACTAAAAGTTCCCACAGAACAATTCCATACCTGAGCAGCATATGGGGTAATGATTCCAATATCAGAAGGAAGCACCCCGCTTTGCACTAATCGCTTTGCATGAGCTATAGCAACTTCAGATTCTCCTTCATTAAGGGTGCTGTCTTCTTCATCTTTCTTTTCTTCCATATCACATCTGAAGCAATCAATATAATCAGCTGGATTATATTCAGTTTGAATGCTCCTACCAACAACCTATATTTCTTTCAAATGAAATACTATGACTTTCTCTCTCCAGCTTCCACATCAGTTCAGATGTTTGTTAAAATTCTAATACTGGTCACTGGATATTGATTAATCAAAATGCCAAATCATTGTGTACAAAACGATGGTTCAACAGTTTTCATTAGAAAGAGATTGTCGTGTCTTTATTCCACATATCCATACTAATCAAAATCAGTTCTGAGATTATAGATATTTCAACTAATGACATCATCCAACATACCCAGTTGTGTCTATGAGAAGAATGGTTGGTTCAGTTGAAGATGTCCTCTTCACATTCTCAAGATCATATAGCGTATGTGCAGCAACACTTGGATGAGCCTTAACCTGTTATCACATAATCCCATGTATGAAGATCTAACAAAAAGTTTATCCCCCAATATAATCTGACTAATCAGTTCAGGATTGATAAATTCTGCCTTTGTATTAGTGGTTTAACAGGGGGAAAGATATATATTTTATTGCAATGCAAATGTCAAGACGAGTGCTTTGAAAATTAGGAGCACCTTACTGTTGTAAAGCTCTTTAGAAGACCAATCCATGATAAGTTGATGCATACGATACTGGACGGTGAGCATAGATGTGACTTCCTCTCCATACAGTTCTGCAAGTCGTTCGAAGAGGGTTCTTCCTAAGCCCTTCTTCTCAGCTTCAACACTTTGAATGGTTGGAGGAAGTTGAAGATGATCTCCAGCAAGTATACATCTTGTACCCTAAAACAATGAATTCCACTTAATTCATTATAGTCAAAGTGAAATTTAAAATAATGATTAGAAAGCTATGTATTTTAAATTTTAATTCGGAATCAAGTGCAGGTTTAGTATTAGTCTGTTAGTTTTGCCAGTTCAAAGCAATTTCTCTTTCAAACATTATTGGAGGAATGAAAGATGCTGTCGGAGATTGTGATTATTAGTGGTTGTAGTTATAGTAATAGATGACAGCAGCAATAAAACATAACCTAACAAAGGCATGCAATCAAGAGAAGATGAAAACAAATTTTGAATGCAACATTGTAATGAATATCATTGAATGTAGTGTTTAGGCATCAACATTACCTTTAGCAGGGGTATCCAACATGCTATCTCAAGCGCTTGAGCAGCTTCGTCGATAATCACCAAATCAAATGAAGTGCGCTCAAGTTTCTTAGTGAAAGCCCCAATCAGGGTAGTTAATATTACATCTGCAGTTTTAATTACGTCTGTAACAGCAAGCTGCTGCCTTTTCCGCTCTTCTCTCGATAGAGTCCTAAGTTCCTTCTGTATTTCCCTCCTTGTATTTTTTTCTTTGGTTTTTAACAGCTTTCCATTCAATACCTGGAAAAAAATGTTATATCCTGTGAAAACTGAAAACTAATGTTGCTAACATTATGCTAACATGAAGTTAATGCCGACATCAATCATCAATGATAACTATCATATGACACAACAGAACAGCAAGTAGATGACACTAATAATCTTGGAAAATGATAATTAATTCATACTTAGAATTGAGATTTAGCTCTGCGAGAAAATCAAGAGAATTAAAAAAGTTGGTTGCCGTATTAATTTTTTATAATTGGTGTTGTTTTACAAGTTTATCCTTCATGAGAGAGAATTAGTTAATACTTTCATAGAGAAGTATCGCATAAAAAGATGTAACATAAGGATATGGTGGTAAAGAAATAATTAATGTAGCTGAAAATTTGAAAGGGGTTTTATAAAAAGGAACAAAGAAAAAACTCGAGTACACGTCGGGATAGAGGCAGTAAAACCTTACCTTCATTTCTTTCCGAATGTCATTTGCAAGGCCACTATTATCTCCTCGCAGTACCTAAATTCAGAGAAACTCAATATGAGAGGGTGAAAACAAGTATGATACACGACAGATTTAACAGTTCCTTTGAAGCTTCAATATGAGAGAGGATATCCAAATAGATTGCAGTGCGAGCTCTTTTGAGCTGGATGGTATTTCCTTTTCTTCAGTTTTTTATTGTTTTCTTTTGTAGCCCTAGGAGAATCTTACCTTTCCTTAATTGTTCTTCTGTTAATTTCTTTTGTGAAATCTTCTTTTATTAACAAATAATAACAGGTTAACAGAGGATAAATACACAACACTGACATAAATTTGGCCATTTTACTGATGCTATTGCGAATAGTAATAAAAAGAGGTGAAAGAAACCATGAAGACAAATATTAAAATTTTATCATTTAAACAGGTGGTCACTGTGTACCTGAGCATCCAGTGCACTGTCCAGTATTTGGGGCAATAAACGTGCAGGATGACCAATCCTCACCAGCTTAACTCTAACATAAATGTTAGATACCATGAATGAGAATTGACATGTGGTTTTACACTCTTGATGAAACGAAACCAAGTGAGAAAACATCTCTCCACAGAATAAGGAAAATAACAAAATAAATATAAGCTTTAAAAAAGGCTTGCAAATTATAAAATTTATAATTTGCACACCATTGTTATTTTGTCAAGGAGAAGTCATTTCATTCCAATATTACTGGTTCTTTAGACAATTTTCTGCAGGAGGTAGACATTGTTTATCTGTGCTATCCGATGTAAAATATGCCAATCAGAAAAATTAGCCAACTATTATAGTGCCAAAGAGATGCTAAAATGACTATACCTGTGTGGAACTAGCCGCTCAACGATGTTGTCAACAGCAATATTTGAGGCAGCACAAACGAGAATCTTAGATCCACGTTTTACTTCTTGTAATATAATTTCCACAACTGTTGTGGTTTTTCCCGTTCCAGGAGGTCCGTGTAGCAAAAAAACATTCTTCGAGGATAGGGCTTTTGAAATTGCATCTTTCTTTGGAGATAAGAAAATGTAAATACATGATTTTAGAATCATAGGCCAGAGCCCTTATGTGCAAAGAACAAAATTATGAACACTCGTGCAGAAACACCATTACCGTGAAAATAGGGATATATTGTTTAGTTGCTATCCTAAAACCAACTAAAAATAAGATCACAACACAATTAAACCACTTGAATTTGATTTGGCTTAATTAACAAGAATTTTCCCAAGAACAATGCTACATACCCAGTCCCCTAACCATGCAGTAACAAACAGGAAGGGACAGTTTACTGCTCAGGTCATTAAAGTGGCAAACCACTATTGTATCCATAATTTTGAGTGCTCTAATAATCAACTAACGATTATATCAAAACTCTTAGTTGATTAATAATAAGTCCACTTATTTCCAACCAACTACATGTAGAGCACGTTCAATATTTGAAGTTATCTCGCAAGTAATTGATAAAGTTCATGTAATCTCAGTTCAATTGTATCTTTCTAGTTATGCTTGGACAATTAGGGTCTGTTTGGATTGGCTTATTTGAGCTTACCTAATACCTATAGCATAAGCACTAATGAGACTATTTGGGAGAGCTAATGAAAATAGCTTTTGATATGACAAATATGAAAAGAACTTATAGCTCATACGAAAATATGTTGAAAATAACTTATTTCCCTAAGCTCTCTAGGATAACTTATAAAAAAGAACTTATAGCTTATATGAAAATATGTTGACTTCATTCTATATATTGTTGTATAAATAGCTAATACATAAGTACTTATAGGATGCACACTTATGCTATAAACGGTTAATTAAGTTGTTTATCCAAACCGGCTCTCAATAACCTCATATTAGCTTAACCCTCGAGACGATTAACATATGTTTTAAAAACAAACCAATTAAGGCCTTAATTGTAATGAATAACTTAAAAATCAAGAGCAGTATGAAAACGCAAAACAATTATTATAAGATAATGCCTGGAAAAATCAATAACTAAAATTGGAACACCACTCAATTAGTTAATTCAATACATGTGTTCAAGTACATGGTGCACACACTAAACACACTTTGAATGTTATCAAACAATAGTAGACGGTGAGTGTTGTTGTCGTTGGCAGATGGTGGTCCATGGTGGAGAACCAAAATATAGCCATAACAACTGTTTTATGGCGCTGCCATAGTGGATTAACCCAAAAACCACCACTGTTATCCGCCATGACGGATATTCGATGACACTGAGAGTGGTTAATGATTCTGAATTGAAAAGATACTTTTATGGAGTCCCTAAATTACAATTCTTTAAATTTCCCTTAAAGAAGAGGACTTATAGACAGCAATAGGAGTTAGACATATTTGTCCAACAGATTGTGAAATATGATTGATAGTATTACTAATTACATAGCCAAAGACAACCTCAGATGAAATAACACATCGTATGATAATAGATTACATAAAATAGACAACTGTTTGGAAAAAAAAATGAAAAGTAAAACGACCAGCAAGAAATTAGATTACACACCTGAGAATGATCAAGATTTCTATTAACGGATGTGAAGGATACATCCTTCTTGGACACTGTTGGTTGCCTCTCCCCAAACAAGACAGGGATTAGATCAGAAGCAGGACCCTTATGCACACCTTTACTCAACTGTACTAATGCATCTTTCATCCTGTGATATGTCACCTGGATGAACCATAAACATTTTCTGTATATAAGAACCCAGGAGCAAGTAATTGAGTAAAAAAATGGATAAAAATCCCAAGCAAGGAGCTAACATGTATGTTTACAAAAACACACTAGAAGACAGTCAAATAACTAATCAAAAGCAAGATTCAAAGCATCACAATAAGTTCCTATTTAGTGCAGTTCATATATTTCACAAAAACATACAATTATAGTGTATAACAAAACATGCTGAATATCATTTTAGTAATTGAATTGTCTATAATCAAACCACAGAACTATTCTAAACAAAAAGAAATAATAAGTACCTAGGGAGCATGAGCTTATCGGCATACCTCATTTGCGACTTTTTCCAGCCTTAGGGGACTGTTTAAGCCATCTTCTGGTATATCATCAAAAGCAACAGTAATTGATGAGTCCTGTTAGAAATTGCATCAAAGGAGCAAATTAAAGTAAGACAAGACCGTCCACAGCCAATGGCATGGGTAATTATTTTTTCTTTTCCCAAAGCAAGCCAATCAGATACCTTCAATCTGTAAACTACACCTTGCCCAAGGGCGGGAGAACCTAAATCAGCCTTGTTGAGTTTTAAAACAACAACATCATGAGTACCAAACTGCACAAAAAAAAAACTCATAAATTCATCAAAGTAATACAATATTGATTTAATGCATTGGAAATGGCCTTAATCCTTATCAATGCCACAAGATGTTTTTGTTTTATGGCATAACAAAAAGGCAAAAGGAAAGAGAAACTATGCATACAATAAAAGTAGGCTTATAAAATAAATACACTGATCATTAAATAAACCCTACAGAAATTGGTGGACACAACAAACAACAAACAACAAACCAAGTCTTATCCCATTAAGTAGGGTTGGCTACATGAATCAACTCCCGCCATAATCTTTTATCCAGAACAAGTGACAGAAGACACAGATAAAAGATATATCCCCTTTACCTTGTGTGCAGGAAGAACGTCTGTTTTTGTAGATTGGAGCTCGATCAGAGACTTTCCCATAAGCCCTGTCTATTTTCAGAGTAAACAGCAAAAGAAGAGTCACAATATAAGAATATCATATGAATTGAAGCTCCACTTACTTGCTACCAAGGAAGCACGAACACCAGAAACATACCATACCAGTAGTAATTTGAAAAATGAATAAGTCAAACATAATCACAAATGTCAGTGTCGGCTTCGGACACTGACACGGACAAACCTTTTTTTAGAGGTGCCAGTGCCTCAAAACTTACTACTTGAAGGCACAGGAAAACATGAAGGGAAAAAATGAACTATAAACCTAGCACCTTTTGCTTCATAACCTTATAAAAGATATTAGCATTCATTCATGAAATAAGTGAAATATAAAATCAAACTTCCACTTTCATTGCTATTTTCATATTTTCAAATTCCATCTTTCTTTGTCTTTCAACTCTGCCTCCATTATCAAACCATCAAATTACACACATTGAAAGAAAAAAAGAAAAAAAAACACCCTTTTTCCAAAAACACTTGTGAAAAGGTATTGTGAAAACAAGAGAAAAACTGAAAATGAGGTAACCTGAACATCGACACACTTCAAATTGAGGATTGTTGATCCTCTCTTTTGAGCAGTATCCAAATTTCTGGACGCACCAGTGGCGATTGAACTTGATATCTCAGCCTCCTGAAACAAAAACAAAAGGATAAAATTGAAAAGATAGATCATTCTGAAGCGAGACTATTAAGCATTGTTTGAAAGTTGAAGTTTTTTTCAGTGTTCTGATGGATTAAAACACAATCCAATGAAAATTGAAACTAGACGGAAAATTAGGGTAAATGAAAGTTGAAACCGCAGCGTTTGAGAAGTGAATTGGATTGGAAAAGAGAGAAAGAAAGTGTGTACCTTTTCCAAATCGAGAAGAGGGGCAGTGATAGAGATGAATTGCTCCAAAGAGAGAGGTGGTGATTTCTTCTTTGTCGCTCCTCTCTCCATTGCTACCGTACCAGAGAGAGGGGGGAATGAACGTTAGCGAAATGCAGGTAGCAGGTAGCAGCAGTAGCAGTAAACTCACGTCGCCTGAACCCATTTGTGTGCTCTTCTTTTTATAATTTGTTTTTTATTGAAAGTCTTTTTTTTTTAATGCCAAAACTTTTTTTTTCATATATATTTAGGGCATTAGAAACTTATACACGTGTCATCACTTAAATTTAAAGAATTTCTTTGTTTATTTCTATATGTTGAATAAATTCTTGAAAATCCTAAAATATTATTTCGGATATGTATATTCAAAGTCACCCTTTAAATATGTCAATAGATGTTTCCGATATATATCTGAAATATTATTTGTTTGTGTTATTTTTGTTTAAAACATCATCATTACCATTATCTAATAAAGGGACAGACGAGCAAAAATGATATGATTTGGACGAAAAATGAAACACACGTAGTAACAATTAGATTAGATGTTAAGAAATAGGGAAACATAATATAATACATAAATTGTTCAGAAAGTGTGTAATGTCAAAATATTATATCGGTAAAAAAAATAATATAACATAGGTTACTGCGTATGCCTAATCCTAACCACATGTGACCTCCTCTTCCTCTTATATTGCGTCACACTGGATGCCTCCCTAACCATCCTCCAAATGATGGCAACTGCCTCAGGATCGCCCCTCTCAAAGATTTCGAAATCCAATGTCGTATGCCCAAGAATGTGTATTCGATGACAGATCGGCATCAACACCAACATTTAACTACTCTAACACTAATCTACACAACGTAATTGATTCTAACTAACCTAATAACCTATTATAGCATTGCAAAGTGGATCAAATGGAAATGCAGAAAACTTACACAAATTTAGAGCTTTGGAGATGAGTTGTAATTAGGCATGGCATCAAAACTCGTATCTGCGAGTATCCACCCGAGCCCGCCCCAAAGTTGATGGGAAAAATATGTTTTGACTGGGTTTGGATTTGGGTTTTCTCAATTACAAAATATGGGGATGGGTCGGGGAACGGAGACACTAGTATCCACCCCGAACATGTCACATTTATTTTATATGTACATTATTATTCATTTTTTATCATTTAGAATATTAAATATGTGGCCAATATTTGATAATTTGATTTGTATTTATTATTTAAAATATTTGAAATGTATGTACGGAATTTTTTTTATTATTTTATTATTTATAATGTAATTTAATTTTGGAAAAAATAAACATTTTTATTAAAAAAAATTAATTTTACTAAACGGATGGTGGCGGGACGGGCATACCTGAACCCAACCCGAATCCATTTCAGACGGGTTTGGGTTTTAATTCTTCATTCCCGTTTGAGTTTAGGGCGAGGAACGAGAATTGTTTAGGAACTCGGGTTTGGGTTTGAGTTTGAGTTTGGGGGAAATAAAAATCGTTCCCGACCCGCTACGTTATAATGCATAGTTGGAATGAGTTGAAATGAGTAGAAATTCCAAGTTTGGGTAGAAATTATGTGGGGTTGGTTTTGGGTTTGTAAACAAATGGGTTCTGAAGCGTGGAAATATTTTGTCTACGCTGGTGAAAACAATTAAATGACTTCGGATATGCACATCTGAAATACTAAATTGTGGGGTTAATTCGGATATACACATGCGAAATCACCTTTTCTTGACAAAATAGAATGACTTTGGATATGCATATACGAACCTACCTATTCTTGACAAATACAGTGAGTTCGGATATGCACATCTGAAGTTTGGGGGTGTTTTGGGTTTTTCACCAGGGGCCTCCAAGAAAACATAGAGGTAGGGAAAGAAATTATCTAAATCTATATATATTAGGGGTGGTAAAACGGGTCATGGCCCATCGATCCGACTCGCGCACTCGCCAAAAAATGGAGCATTTAACATGGCACCCCCCCCCCCCCCCCCCCCAAATTATACATGGCACCCCACATATTTAAATATTCCCAAAATACTCCTTTTATTATCTACTTCTAAAATTTCTACATTTTTCAAAAAAATTACTATTGGTCAAAGTTGGTAAAAATGAAATTTCTGGTACGCTGAGCAAATTTATGGTGCCGAATTTTTGCGTAAACTGGAAATTCTTTGCATTATCTAAATTCATCGGAAATTTCAAAATTTTCTGGACGATTTCCAAAAGTCATTACATAAAGTGGGAATTACATAAATTTCTGGTAGGTAGCATAAAATCGGAAATTTGAAATTTCTGAAATACCGAAAATTTCAGCTATACCTAAAAAATTTGGTATGTGTGCAGATGAAATTTTACATCTTTGTGGTCCAAAGTCAACACCTTTAACTTCTTCTACGGATTCATATACTGATGTTACGTAGTTTCTCACCACAAATATCGTATATTTCCTATTGAATTTACACACTTTTATTTGTTTTTCGACCTTAAATAAATTGATGAGGTTTACGAATTATATGTTGTTACAAGTGTTTGTACACAAAGTTGAAGCACATTATGATATTCCTTTGTTTTTATGTTGATTACATGTTAATCATTTGCAACAAGTTGAATGGATTTTTAGAAATAGAGGTTTCTAACTTCCATATTTAAGATGAAAGAACTTGGACAAGTTGACATTATTTTGGGGATCAAAGTAAAACAAAACAGTGGGGTTATGAACTTAATCAAACACGTTATGTTGAGAAAGTACTTGACGCATTCAAACACTGATGTTTCAAAGAAGTGAGTAATTTATTTGATCCCAGTGTCAAACTTTAAAAGAATGATGGAAGAGGTGTGACTCAATTGTAATATGCAAGTACAATTGATTGTCTAATGTATTTGATACAATATACTAGGCCCTACATAACATTTGTAGTTAGTAAAATGAGTAGATTTACTAGTAATCCAAATGGAAATCATAAGAAGGCCACCACAAAGAATTTCGGTTATCTTTTGAAAAACAAATATATTGGCCTCCATTATGGTAGGCTTCCTACCATATTAGAAATATAACTGATACATGTTGGATATTGAGTGTCATAGATCATAAATCTATAATTGGGTAATATTTATACTAGTTGGTGATTATATTTCTTGGAAGAGCAAGAAACAAACGTGTATCAGCCTCTTGACCATGGAATCAGAGTTCGTGGATCTTGCTTTCACTGGTCGAGAAGTTGAAAGGTTGAGGGACCTTATGTTGGAAGTTTCATTGGCTAAAGATAATGCTTCAAAGGTGTTGATACATTGCAATAGTCAAACCACTTTGGTTAGAGTATACAACAAAAGGTATAATGGAAAGTCAAGACACATAAATATTATACATTCCTTCATGATAAAATTGATTAAGGATGTAATATTTTCACTCACACACACGCGCGTGCGCTCACACACACACACACACACACAGTTTACCGTGGAAATTGGTAAACAACCGCTGATCTTCCAAAAGGTTACTTATTTGGTGACTCGTAGGATCGATCAGATTGATTCTAAGACATGGTTGATTTTCTGGAGTTTGACTAATCCTAATGGTGATTAATGCCAGTAAAGTAAAGACACTTTAAGCAAATTGCATGAAGAAAAGCTTGATAGAATAAATAAAAGCGTTAAGTAAAGGCTTCGACGGAGATAAGTAAATGAAAAGCGATAAATTGCTTGAATATAAAAGACTTTGATTAATTTAAATGGTGTTTCACACATACATTCTCAACGATTCTTTCGCTCACGCTGGGTACTTGAATCTAGATGAGTGACTTGTATAAGATGATGAACACACGCGAAAACTACATGAACAACTAGTATTTATACTAAAACAAATCCTAAGTAACCGCTGGGCAGTTACGCTGCTTCGAGATGACGCCACATGGCACGCTCACAGCCTTCGACGCTTCTGTCTTCGGCACGTTGCACTTGGTAACTGCTGGGAACCGTTTTCCCTCCAACAATTCAAATCTCAAACCATTCGACCTTGGGCATCAGGTACCTTCGTCGAGAGTTTCCTTCGACATCGAAGACAACAAGATTCCCGCTTAAAGGAATTTCTCTAAGTATCTTGTCATTCTTTGATGAGCCCTCGACAGGATCAGTTGGTCGAAGCCTTCTTATGTAGGAAACACTTTTGACTCATAATTAATGGTCTATGTATGATAAAAACAAGGGTGTCGCATTTAGGAGCCAACAAATTGCCCCCCAAGAATGTCTTATTTCGACGCTAAAAGAAAAAGGCATTCTTTGATATTTCCAGTCGACACCTGTCCTTCCATTTTGGCTTTTTATAGTTAACTTAGTCATTAACTATTATTTATTTTGATCTCTTGGAGCATATGTTTATATTTTTTCAAATATTTGTCGTTTACCCTCAAGAGTCTTTTATCTTCGCTTAACTCTTCGACCTCATAAGCTCCACCAGAAAAAATTTGAATAATTCTGAACGGTCCTTCCCACTTGGGTGACCATTTTCCCATGCTTCGATCTCTTCGATCCATGGGGAGAATCACCTTCCAAACTAATTCTCCAGGCGAGAATGCCTTAGGTTTTACTTTTTTATTGTAAGAGTCTTCCACTCTTTTCTTCTGAATTCTCAGTAGGTCGAGAGCTCATAGTCTTTCTTCGTCTACATCCACTAGTTCGTCTAACATCATATCCCAATAAACTTCAGAGGGAATATCTTGATGTCTCTGAACCCTTGCTGATTGAAGACAAATTTCTGCTGGCAGTACTGCGTCATGACCGAAAGTTAGCCGATATGGTGTTATACCTGTGGCTTCTTTTGAGGACGTTCGACAGGCCCACAAGATCTGGTCTAATGTTTTGTGCCAATTTTTTGGCTTCTTTCCCACATGCTTTTTTATCAGGCCAATCACTATTTTATTTGCTGCTTCAACTTGACCATTTGCCTGTGCATAATAAGGCGTTGATGTTAGGAGTCTAAAGCCTGTTTCTTGAGCGAATTCTTGCATCTTTCGACCAATAAACACTGATCCTTGATTGGTTGTTATAGTCTCAGGGATTCTAAATCTGTAGA